AGTCTAATAGGCCAATAAACTGATTAGTTGACCGCAGATCTAGATCTCATGATCGATTATAGACGTTATACAATTGTGTATAGATAATATTGAGTGTTACGTAGAGGGATTCAAGGATTTCAAGCCTATCCCCTTGGTAGATACTTAAACAAGATTAAAGAAACAGAATTATCCTGCGATATTGGCATCCTCACCGACTTACCTTTCCTTTCAAGCCTACTTAGGACTATAAATAACAGATTTATTGATTGAAGGAACGTATTTCTTACATTGTATTAATTTTATTTGCAAACCACTTGCAACAACAGCATGGACGGCTTCAAAAAATATTTAAAAAAAATAATTATTAACAGATCATTCATTATCTAATGGTAACCAATGATTAATAAAAAAAAATCACTCAAATCCTGACCCAATATGGGCCCTTCTTAACATTGTACGTACCTGTCACAAAACAAACTAAAACCAAAACCCTTGATATATATATATACATATATATACATATGGGTCAAAGAAGTAATATAGACGGTAAAAATCTCATATATATATTCATAAATATATATATATATATATACATATATATACATATGGGTCAAAGAAGTAATATAGACGGTAAAAATCCCATATATATACATTAATATACATATATATACATATATATACATCAATCCTTCCACGAAAACTAAATAGTGAATTGTCTACCTCTTTTCGACAAAGGGGCTTTTCTACCAACAAAAAGCATGACTTACGTAAAATAATGTGATTTTTTAATTGATTTTTGGGAAAATATAGCAGGAATTATCCAAAGGAAGGGGGACTTATATCATAGCCAAATTAATTTTTAATCACTGAACCCAACAGAACACCAAGGCCCTTCTGTTTTAGGTATTGATTTGTCTGTGGCCTGAATTTCTAACAAGATTTTGTTTATTCTGTTTTATATATAGTAAGGCTATTTTTCACACCCAACCTTACAATTAACAATTTAAAGATTTACGTGAAATCTGCTGTCTGGCAGCAGAAGTAGGCCAATAGAATTAGATATCTCAATCTAATGCACAGGGAAAACATCTTATACAATGGAGAGTAATGAATTGGTTGAAAAGGTGGTTTCAGTAAAGTATAAGAAATATTGCATTTGCATGTCAGAAATGATAGGGTGTTACAATAATAATATGTCAGATTATGCAAGATTCACTAAAAGTCACATTATTTTGTAAAGTAACATTCACATCATTAGGGGATCGTCTTATGTGATGGGTCACACCATTAGGGGATGGTCTGAATTAACAGGTCACACCTTTAGGGGGTAGTCTTATGTGATGGGTCACACCATTAGGGGATGGTCTGAATTAACAGGTCACACCTTTAGGGGGTAGTCTTATGTGATGGGTCACACCATTAGGGGATGGTCTGAATTAACAGGTTACACCATTAGGGGGTAGTCTTATGTAAAGGGTCACACCATTAGGGGATGGTCTGAATTAACAGGTTACACCATTAGGGGGTAGTCTTATGTAAAGGGTCACACCATTAGGGGATGGTCTGAATTAACAGGTTACACCATTAGGGGGTAGTCTTATGTAAAGGGTCACACCATTAGGGGATGGTCTGAATTAACAGGTTACACCATTAGGGGGTAGTCTTATGTAAAGGGTCACACCATTAGGGGATGGTCTGAATTAACAGGTTACACCATTAGGGGGTAGTCTTATGTAAAGGGTCACACCATTAGGGGATGGTCTGAATTAACAGGTTACACCATTAGGGGGTAGTCTTATGTAAAGGGTCACACCATTAGGGGATGGTCTGAATTAACAGGTTACACCATTAGGGGGTAGTCTTATGTAAAGGGTCACACCATTAGGGGATGGTCTGAATTAACAGGTTACACCATTAGGGGGTAGTCTTATGTAAAGGGTCACACCATTAGGGGATGGTCTGAATTAACAGGTTACACCATTAGGGGGTAGTCTTATGTAAAGGGTCACACCATTAGGGGATGGTCTGAATTAACAGGTTACACCATTAGGGGGTAGTCTTATGTAAAGGGTCACACCATTAGGGGATGGTCTGAATTAACAGGTTACACCATTAGGGGGTAGTCTTATGTAAAGGGTCACACCATTAGGGGATGGTCTGAATTAACAGGTTACACCATTAGGGGGTAGTCTTATGTAAAGGGTCACACCATTAGGGGATGGTCTGAATTAACAGGTTACACCATTAGGGGGTAGTCTTATGTAAAGGGTCACACCATTAGGGGATGGTCTGAATTAACAGGTTACACCATTAGGGGGTAGTCTTATGTAAAGGGTCACACCATTAGGGGATGGTCTGAATTAACAGGTTACACCATTAGGGGGTAGTCTTATGTAAAGGGTCACACCATTAGGGGATGGTCTGAATTAACAGGTTACACCATTAGGGGGTAGTCTTATGTAAAGGGTCACACCATTAGGGGATGGTCTGAATTAACAGGTTACACCATTAGGGGGTAGTCTTATGTAAAGGGTCACACCATTAGGGGATGGTCTGAATTAACAGGTTACACCATTAGGGGGTAGTCTTATGTAAAGGGTCACACCATTAGGGGATGGTCTGAATTAACAGGTTACACCATTAGGGGGTAGTCTTATGTAAAGGGTCACACCATTAGGGGATGGTCTGAATTAACAGGTTACACCATTAGGGGGTAGTCTTATGTGATGGGTCACACCATTAGGGGATCGTCTGAATTAACAGGTCACACCATAAAGCAATTTCATCTACAAAACTTCAATATTGTTAAAAACAATTATTCTGTATCTGTCAATTAGACTAAGGTTTGATGCTTTTAGCACTGATCGTTGGCATCTCTGATTCTAAAGACTGAACTCAGATTTGGTTTCACTAATCAGATCTTAACAAATCAAGAGTGTAGTTTCCTTTTCCTGCTTAACTGGTTTCGGATTGATTCATACACTTACACGTATGGAATGTAGGTCAGACGAAATGTAATGGGTTCATATATCTTCATTGCATGGAATTACACAAAATTTAAATTAATCCCTTACTTGACTTTATATAAGAGTCTAATTTTACTGCATGGGTCAATTAACGCTGACAAAAGATGGATGTTAAAGACATCAAATCTGAGCAGAGATAAAGCTTGTTGAACTATCGCAGAAAAAACCAAAAGTACCATCATGTACACTGTGTCCTAGCTTCCAAATGATATGAATGTTTGCTCCAACCTCTATAAACTGTTCACGTCCAAGATAAAGTATATGGCATATGAGATGACTTCTTCCCTCCTCCTGGGCTAGTGTTTCTCTATTCCACACTTTCTCTGGTGCATTAAGTTATCCTTGTCTCACGGTTATTAAGGTTGAGGCATGTGGATTTCAGTAGACTTTGACTTTTTGTCAACATTGCATAATACAATGCATGAACTCCATTCACCACAATGTAACTTATGTTAAATGATCCCCATTCCAAACACTGTGTCTGCTAAGTGCTCAATCTTGGTTTGTTAAAAGGAATGTGTGTGCATTATTATTGTGTATCTTAGCACAAATTGGCCAAACCTAGAATTCATAACCATTTTCACCTTAAGATGTTACCAGTAGTTATATAAATCTTTATATTATTCATAACTATGGACAGGACAGGACTGACAGGGACGTACAGAAACTGAAATCAGTGCTTGTTATTTTTGTCAAGTAGGGAAACGTTCTAGTATTAAAGAACCCACTTAAGATTGGCAGATTGACTTCACTGTTCCCCTGTTTTTGTCATGTTACATGAAGATGGAGTGTGTGTCGGAGTTTACTAGGCCAGACTGTCACAGACAAGGGTCAGGCTGTCACAGGCTTTGATCTGTATAGGGCAAAAAACATCAAGACTTGAGAAACAAAATGTTATTAACCCTTTCACCCCTAGGTAACTTTAGTAGACTCTACTATGCATTGATCTGGATGACTCCATTATGGTCTACAGTGGTGAAAGGGTTAAGTGGAGAAACGTTTACTTGAATTGCAAATTAGTACATGAATACAGCTTAAATGTAATTGCATGCTGTCCTTGTCATCAGCCAGATAGAAGATTCACTCTTTTAATTGACACCTGCCATGTTTATATTTGTGTTAATATTATAATTGATATTTTTAAGAATATAGATGCTGTAAGTTATTTATTGAATCTGCAGATTTCTTAATCACCTGTAAAAGTTTTGCAAGTAACTTAAAAGGTCAACTTTAACTCCATTTCTAAATTTTAAATTGTATATATTTATACGATTTAATTTAAAATATCAGATCTAAACCAAAAGTAACGATTGAATTAAAGACATTTTAAGTAATGGGAAAAACAGTTATTTTGAATCATAATATGTTCATTACTGCAAGCAGAGATATTGAATTACTACTAAGTGTTTGCATGTTTTGTAATCGTAATTTCTAAAGAGAAGGAGTACTTGAATGATTAAAGACTTTGGTGTTGTATCATGTGTAAGTATGGTTGCCATATATATTATATTGTACATATAAAACACCAATGTGAATCTTTCTACTTCTTTGAACGGTTTACCTAATTAATGGAGATCTGGAGGCGCGGTAGTCTAGTGGTCGGACGCCGGGCTCGCGACTGAAGGGTTCGAGTCACGGCACGGGACTGTGTTGTATCTTTGAGCAAGATACTTTACTCCGCTGGTTCCAGTCTACTCAGCTGTAAATGAGTACGTGGTTGGGCAGTGCTAGAATTGTTGAATGCTAGCTGTAAGCGCTGAAATGGCAGCTCCGGCTGTATGCTCCCCATGGAGTTGAGAAAGATATTGACTGGTTGCAAAGGTCCTATGACCATGGATAATAGTTTGTGAACCGCTTTGAGACGACCTACGAACTAGGTTGTTATAAAGCCGTATATATAAGAACCTCAAATTATTTCTATTATCATCATTATAAGTTCTCGTGTATGATGTGCTATTCTGTAACTTACCTGTGCTCCTCTGTCTGTTGCAGTCATTCCAGGGAAGCCAGGGAAGAGCATACCTGTTCAACTCTGTGTAAGTACGGCTGTTAAACACTCACATCTACTCCTCCTTGTGGACTTGGTGGAATGAGGCCCAATGAAACCATTGTGTGGTGTAAATTGTCCCCAAAACAGTTTTTCTCCTACTGTGTAATGAGGCCCAATGAAACCATTGTGTGGTGTAAATTGTCCCCAAAACATTTTTTCTCCTACTGTACCACTTTCTTTAGTGAACCGGCCTTGCTTAGTTGCTAACCACGTGCACATCGTTTCACTGTGTTTTGGTATGAAATAATCTTATAGTGTCAATAAGAGGTTTCCAATAATCATATCAATCATTGTTAAAATTTGTCTGCAGTTTCTATGGAAAAATTAACTAAATGTATATAGATGCTGGTTAAAATCACCTTTTCAATCTGCTTTTGTGGTGTTAATGGTTTTAGGTTCAAACTTTTACTTGCCTGCTGAAACAAGGTGTAGTACAGTGTGACATGTCCATCCATTTGTTAAGGTAATAGGTTTGTGTCACCATTTTTCAGTAGGATTTCTTCAAATTTTGTAGTTATATTGCTTTGAAGTAAAGCAAATTTTCTGCCACAAAAAAAAATATCGGTTGTCAGAATTTTAAGGATTTTAAATGGAAATTTATGCAAAAAGGAATGAATTTTGAAAAAAAATGAAAGACACAATTTTTTGCAAAATAATGACAATAAAAATAATACTGCCATAGTATTGCATTAATGTATATCAATTTAATAAATACTGAAATTGTGTAAAATGAATTATTTATAAACGATTAAAAATTGACATTTTATAATAAAACCATATACACATAGTAATTGCATGTAAGAGTTATCTTTCTTGAAAAACTTCACAGTAGTGAAATAGGTAACCAGTTTCCTGAAATACAGAAAAATGGACACATGTGACTCATTGATAAAAAAAACCTGAATAAATGTCTGGATTGCTTTGAAATACTTTAATATCGAGAGAACACACTGTTCTGTTAATAATAAACATACAATATTCAACAGTTTAAGATTAAACAATGGACTCATTAGAATATGCGGAAATTGTGATACTGTCTCCCTACATTAGATTTTCAACTAGGGATGCACTTCCTATTTCCGTTTATCAATACACTCATTCGACCTTAACTTTGAATTTGGAAAACTCCTCCTCATTTTCTCTACATGTTTATTAGACATATAGCTCAAGAACTTATGTACAGAGTTGTTGCCCTTTGTTTGCAATCATTAAATGCCAACTAGTGTCTCAGTTTCGAAAAAAAATCTTTGAAAGTTGGAAAGGTTTACCATTAATTATTAGTTCACCTCTGTTACTACAGTTAATTATGTATTAAAGCATTTCCAACCTGTCCTAACAACAAAAGTCAATCAGCTTTCCTCTGATATCTCGGAAACTAATGGTGTAACTACAGTTATAATACCACAATCAATGAATTACTCTGTAAAATTACAAAAGCAGAACTCTTCAATTTAGTTCACACATTCCTGCTATTTCTGTTGGCCCTAACCATTTCCACAACTCAACTTGCTTCCTGAATACAAAACAATAAAATTGTTTTGAAAACTAAACATTTTTTTAAAGAATTCACAAATTGCAAAAAATGGATGGAGGGATAGAGAACCTCATAAAACCAATATAAACAGTGAACATTATAAAGGGAACAGGAAAATAAACCAGCTATCATTTTGTTATACATATGAGATTGTTGTCATATTCCTGTTGTGAGTGGGACAGAATTGAACTTAAAATGTACAATGTCTTTATTTGAGTTCCATTAAGTAAATATAATTATAGGTGTGGTTTGCATCAAAACCACAAAGTCTATACTGAGCATTAAAAAAACAAGTTATATACAAATAGTCATTGAATGATATCAGGAAACTCATCCGGCCGTGTAGACTGACTTAATGCATTGTAACCTTGTGTTTTACTGGAGACAATAAAAGTACTGACCTAGCTCATGGGAACACTATCTTGAGGAGTGTCACAGATTATACGGATATTTCTGCTCAGTGTCTCGAAATGGGGACAGGTCAGTTTGTACAATCCTATACCAGTAAATGGATACCAGTAGGTATACCTTATGCATGATGTAGATTATGTGCCAAAGCCATGAATTCAGGGGGTTTTAGAGGGTCATCAAGTCTGTATAAAAAAGTGGTTCAACATGCATGGTACTTGGATTAATTAAACGTCTTGGGGCTTTGACAATTTTCTGTCAACTTAGACACCAACCTCTTTGGGTCAATTTTTTTTCCTAATTTTTCAAGTGATTAAAAAAAAATGTTTGATCTTCATAGTTCTATCCATTAATTAAAAACATAACCTTGTATTAAACACATAGATAGAGGTTTGAATGAGTCAGATGTGCCAATAGCTTGTGGGAACATAATACAAATGTTAACCGATTCATAAATGATCATAATGACACCTGTTACCAAAGGTTGTCAGATAGAATGAACTAATATTGGCACATAGAAATGGTCGACCAAAATATCTGAGACACCTTAATTTACTAACCTATAAGATATTCCCAGGGGCACCATCACGAATGCTCGGTAGTCCCAAAAATTATACCCAAGTCAGGAAATAAAACACAGTAGTCTACGGTAGATTTCAGTCTGATTTCATTTTAATTCATTAACAGAGTTAGTCGGTACTATATAAGGTCCAGTGGTAGAATTCATTAACAGCGTTAGTCTGTACTGTATAAGGTCCATTAGTAGAATTCATTAACAGAGAAAGTCGGTACTATATAAGGTCCATTGGTTGAATTCATTAACAGAGTTAGTCAGTACTGTATAAGGTCCATTGGTAGGATTCATTAACAGAGTTAGTCGTTACTATATAAGGTCCATTGGTAGAATTGATTAACAGAGTTAGTCGGTTCTATATAAGGTCCATTGGTACAATTCATTAAGAGTTAGTCGGTATTATATAATAAGTTCCAGTGGTAGAGTGGGTACTATATAAGGTCCATCGGTAGAATTCATTAACAGATTTAGTCGGTACTGTATAAGGTCCATTAGTAGAATTCATTAACAGAGTTAGTCAGTACTGTATAAGGTCCATTGGTAGAATTGATTAACAGAGTTAGTCGGTCCTGTATAAGGTCCATTGGTAGAATTCACCAACAGAGTTAGTCGGTACTGGATAAGGTCCATTGGTAGAATTGATTAACAGAGTTAGTCGGTACTGTATAAGGTCCATTAGTAGAATTCATTAACAGAGCTAGTCGGTACTATATAAGGCCCATTGGTAGAATTCATTAAGAGTTAGTCGGTATTATATAATAAGTTCCAGTGGTAGAGTGGGTACTATATAAGGTCCATCGGTAGAATTCGTTAACAGAGTTAGTCGGTAATATTTAAGGTCCATTGGTAGAATTCGTTAACAGAGTAAGTCGGTACTGTTTAAGGTCAATTGGTAGAATTCATTAAGAGTTAGTCGGTATTATATAATAAGTTCCAGTGGTAGAGTGGGTACTATATAAGGTCCATAGGTAGAATTCATTAACAGATTTAGTCGGTACTGTATAAGGTCCATTGGTAGGATTCATTAACAGAGTTAGTCGGTTCTATATAAGGTTCATTGGTAGAATTCATTAACCGAGTTAGTCGGTACTCTATAAGGTCCATTGGTAGAATTGATTAACAGAGTTAGTCGGTACTGGATAAGGTCCATTGGTAGAATTCATTAAAAGAGTTAGTCGGTACTATATAAGGACCATTTGTAGAATTCATTAACATAGTTAGTCGGTACTGTATAAGGTCCATTGGTAGGATTCATTAACAGAGTTAGTCGTTACTCTATAAGGTCCATTGGTAGAATTGATTAACAGAGTTAGTCGGTCCTATATAAGGTCCATTGGTTGAATTCATTAACAGAGTTAGCCGGTACTATATAAGGTCCAGTGGTAGAATTCATTAACAGAGATAGTCAGTACTATATAAGGTCCATTGGTATAATTCATTAACAGAGTAAGACGGTACTATATAAGGTCCATAGGTAGAATTCATTAACAGATTTAGTCGGTACTATATAAGGCCCATTGGTAGAATTCATTAAGAGTTAGTCGGTATTATATAATAAGTTCCAGTGGTAGAGTGGGTACTATATAAGGTCCATCGGTAGAATTCATTAACAGAGTAAGTCGGTACTGTATAAGGTCCATTAGTAGAATTCATTAACAGAGTTAGCCGGTACTATATAAGGTCCATCGGTAGAATTCGTTAACAGAGTAAGTCGGTACTGTATAAGGTCCATTGGTAGAATTGATTAACAGAGTTAGTCGGTTCTATATAAGGTTCATTGGTAGAATTCATTAAAAGAGTTAGTCGGTACTATATAAGGACCATTTGTAGAATTCATTAACAGATTTAGTCGGTACTATATAAGGACCATTTGTAGAATTCATTAACATAGTTAGTCGGTACTGTATAAGGTCCATTGGTAGAATTGATTAACAGAGTTAGTCGGTCCTGTATAAGGTCCATTGGTAGGATTCATTAACAGAGTTAGTCAGTACTGTATAAGGTCCATTAGTAGAATTCATTAACAGAGCTAGTCGGTACTATATAAGGTCCATAGGTAGAATTCATTAACAGATTTAGTCGGTACTATATAAGGACCATTTGTAGAATTCATTAACAGAGTAAGTCCGTACTGTATAAGGTCCATTGGTAGGATTCATTAACAGAGTTAGTCGGTAATATTTAAGGTCCATTGGTAGAATTGATTAACAGAGTTAGTCGGTACTACATAAGGTCCATCGGTAGAATTCGTTAACAGAGAAAGTCGGTACTATATAAGGTGCATTGGTAGAATTCATTAAAAGAGTTAGTCGGTACTATATAAGGTCCATTGGTAGAATTCATTAAGAGTTAGTCGGTATTATATAATAAGTTCCAGTGGTAGAGAAGAAAACCTGACATTTATATTTTTCATTATAGTAATCTGAATTATGAAGAAGACAAAAATGATGTGAAGGAGGTTGATCTAAGA